TATATATATACGATTGGAAATGCATAGATTAGAATGCACTGACACTGCATTTCCTTTATGGTCTCTAGATTATGGATTGCAGATGGCTCTTCTCCCACTTTCACACCCAGTCTGGTGCATTTCAGCACCCTTCCTTCTGGAAAATGTTACATGCTCTGTAGTGCCAAACAAGTTGAGCAGATAAAGTGCAAGCRAAATACCTCGTTGTACTGCTTTATACAGTATTTGACATTAACGTAAGACTTAAAGCCAACTTGGGGTATAAAAAAGCATTACTGAACACGAAAAAGACTGCATATTAATCCAAAAAGTGAGTTCAGCAGTGCAGCACAAACACTAAAGGCCAACTATGAGCATAGATGCAACAATACATGCTAGCAGTTAAAATAAGTGCCAAGTCAAACTCAAACCCTAGTGGTTCAGGAGGTATTTTGGCAACAGACAAACAGGGTTGACAGCAACAGTAGTGATAGCATTTTAAACAAAATACTGTGTGATGAGCACAACAAGCAGTATTTGTTGTGAATGACTCTTAATTACAATTATGCACATTTTTAGCTCAGCATCCATGAAACAGATTGGCTAATCAGTTTTGTGTTTTAGTTTGGTCTGCTGTGGCAGCCTTCGTGAATTTGATTGTCTCCAAAAGTTAATCAGTTGGAGATGTGCATCCATTATATCCTTTATACAAGTTTCATCAATATATATCCAGGGGTTCATGATARATTATGCTAACAGACAAAGGAAGTTGACTCTAAATAATTAATGGCAAATTTTTTGACAWAACCAACATAAAACCTTCGACCATATCAGTAAAACTACGATAGGTTGTAGATGCACATGCACATTCAATGATTTTTTTTTCTGTGAAATTAAGTTACGTTTGTTTATTGTGAGAAACTTTAAATAAACTTTGGTAATAAACAGACATACAGTACAAACACATGCATGCACCTTCAGACACAGGAAAAAAACATTTTAGTCTGCCAGTTTTCAAAATTAACATTTTGTTTTGGTAGGTCCACAAAACTGCATTTTTATGACAACATTTACCCAAAAGTATGTTATCATTACTAAACTTGGATGATTTTATGAGAGATTTGGTCAAACTGTCTGTACTAACATAATGTTCGGAGCTAATATTTAAAATTTTTCTGATTGTATTGCAGCATAAAAAGAAGATGTTTTTAATTATAAGTCTTCCTAAAATACATTAGAATGAGTCCTAAAGGACATTTAATGTGTTTCACTCAACCTCATTAATATCTAGCAATTAGAAGATATGTTGTAAAAAATGGTGACAGCTGATTCATTGGTATTAATATGGCATGGATATCAAAACGTACATATGATAACATATTGGGGATAAAATACTTGCAGATTGGAAGCACTAACCAGTATAAATTAGCTCATGTCCAATACACATAAACATAGCGATGTCTCAGGACACCCATGTTCCTGAACATCCTTGTCACAAAATTTTGCATCAACATAAATACAAAAGTCTGAAGTTTGTGTTTTAAATGCACTTGAAATTGTCACTTGTTTGCTCTACAACAGAGAGTAGACCATTAGTTATATTATACAGTATATCTACAAATGATTTGATTTATATAATGAAGCTAATAAGGGCCACTAATTACATTGCCAGCGATTTGTAATTATTGTGCCACATCTCATTAACCGGACCCTTTGCTTGGTTCCAAGTGTCTTCTGGGTAATGCAGTTCCTGCTGTGGTCATGCAGCACTCTCCATGTCCCTGATAGTTCATCTTTCCACCTGACAGCCTGCCCTTCATACATCACTGAATGTCCCTCTGCTTGCTCTTCCCTCCTGTCAATTGCCCATATGGCTAAGGTTACAAAAAGCTTTCAAACTGGGTGGATTTGTTTGAAATACTTAATATGTAATTGTAACTGTATAATTTCATATATTGAATGTGTCAGATTTGCTACCACTAGCCTTTATTGTATGTTTAATTAAATACAATTAACATGAAAACAACAATTGTTAGTGTTTTTAATGAGTGAAACTAAATGGTCTAAAGACCAATCTGAAAATGGTGCTGGGTTTATCATATCCCAATAGATGAAACTTTATAAGATGAAAGTGACTAGTGAAGTACTTTTTTGCCAAAAAAGTAAATAATAATAATTAAAGTGGAAAAAATGCTTACCTCTGCATTACACCTCCTGCTCTGAGAGAAGCTGAGTATCTCCAGTCTGAATTAGGCGCCTTGGGCTGCAAGAGAAAGTGAGAGGAATTGAGCCTTAAGTACAGGCAAAAGCCAATACYGTCTCATTAATAAATCATGGTGAGAACTGCTTCTGGATGTGCGCCACACATGCAGCTTCCTCCTGCCTTTGAAGAAAAATGAGTAATGAGCAGAATATTATAATTTTGTTGATGCGCACTTCTCTTCTCATCAACACAACCCCTCCCTTCTTCAGTCTCTTGACTTTGACAAAGACAAAAAAAGCCCACGGTGCCCATAATTTTAATACAGACATCTTAGGACAACATATCCAAAGTGCATCTTCTTGTGGCACAACCTRGCATATTTACTGAAATAACGTCCTGCTCATGATTACATTTATAATAGCTTAAATTTTCCTGACATCTTTAATGTTTTAAAAATGTAATAAATAAATAAATCCCTGAAAATTTAATTAAATCTAAATACTGTCTTTATGGTCTGTCTATATTTTCTTCTATCGCCCTCCTGTCATCTCAGATCTGTGAAGGTCACATGTGGAACGGAGATGAAGGAAAAGAGGGCAGATATCAAATTAACCTCCTCAGCAACAAGATTTGGACAGTTCTACAATCAAAAGACACAAAGGGGCAGCTCAGAAATGCTGCACAGGTGCCTGAAATGAAAGCGGTTAGAGATATGCCTTTTGTTTTAGCACTAATGCAAAAAAAATACAACAAAATAAAAATATTTTTTAGATGACAGAAGATTCTGTGGTTGAGAACCTCCCGAGTAATCATGCTGGCAGTAAAATGTGATATGACGAAGATGAGATTGCATTTTCTCTCTTCTCAACCCCTATAAATCTGAACCAGTCTCAACGAGGACACTGCATCCTCCCCGGTTTGTCATGCAGTATATAAGAGACCTATTTGCAATCTCATTTTCCTTCAAATTTGACCGATGTTCACCTGCTGCCAAAGCTGCACTGACCTCTATGAGTCTGCACGGGACATTCATCACACCAGAAATTCAATATTCTGTCTTAATAAGAGAAGCCTGTTATTCCTCCTAGAGTCATTAAAAAAGGCAAAATGTCCACAGAGAAACAGAGCAATGCAGAATCGATACAAGAAACTGAGGGCAATCAGATGAAGACAGTTACTTATCAAAAAGCAATCAGCATGTGGATCAATAGTTTACAGAATAAAACATATAAATAAGTGTGGCATTATGTATATAATTGAAGAAAAATGTCATAAATTTACATGTGGCGCAAGGCACATAATTAGAAATACCCATTGAAAAAGATACCAGATTGTCCAKAAATGGGACTAAACAGCTTTGTTTTCTTTTCCCCTGCACATCATTGGCCAAAGGAAGACTGGTCTGTTTGGCCGTATGGCATTTATAAGCGAAAATGAAATTATACAAACGAGAGCATGCACAAATACAAAATGAAGCATCTGGAATATCCACAGATTAGGACACACCCAAGAGAAAACAGATTGGCAAAACTGGAAAACCATCATTTTACATACGATATTCAAGCTAGAAGAAGACAAGATCTTAGCAAAATAATGTATTATATTCTGATTTATCCTTTGAAGATGAGAAACTATAAGCAGACTGTTTTCATTGTCTTGCCAGATACTGCAACCATAAAGAAAAAATATATAAATATACATTGATTTTAAACAGCCCTGTTCTGTTTTTTTTTATTCCCTTCTATTTTTGCCTCTTCCTGAGTGAAAACTCCTTGCATGGAGACAGAGCTCACACCTCCGCCATCAACACTGTGTCCAATCACCTCTTATCCCCTGCCTCATCAGCTTCTCAGCAACCAATCCACACGCAGCGCTGAGAAACACATCACTGCTGTTTAATTACACAGCAAACTCAAACATGACTGGCATTTAATGAGGAACAGGTCAAGTGATTGCAGTAGAATCACTTTAATAGTTTTTTTTATTGCTTTATAGACATTTTATTCTCCACTACTCTTTCCTTCTCTGCAGACTAGCATAAACTATAAGAAAAACACAATTGGGGAAAAACAAATCATGGGTGTTTTATCATTGCAATATTATTTTTTACATTAACCAGAACTGTTTTTGTATTCATTTTTTTAAACAAACTGTTACTTCACAAGCTAAAATGCAAATAAAAATGTTTTAGACTCAAAATTAAATAGACTCTTTGCCATATTTTTGCCTTACTAATAATTGCTTACACTTGGTTTAATATTCAATGGAATTATTTGACAAGAAGGATATGAATTAAAAATGGTGACAKATTAAGTAGGCAAAGTTGCACTGTTTGCAGATTGTCTCTACATGTGCCCATGCTGTGCCCTTTAACTCTAATGGACTTAAGAATATGTCACAGCTTACCATGAACAAATGACAGTGTGTGAAGTCATCTGGAGTCATAGGTCAGGAAGTTACTGAAATCTACACAATTGCTCTGTTAAAAAAATATGACATATAAAGATAATCACAAAACTACAAACTGAATAGGCTTCATTGACATACTTTCACCCGATTTGTGAATCTAAAATGGCAAATATACCACCCGACACACACCTGAATGGCAGTTGCATCTGGCATACTGAGACGCCGTACAAATATCTGGCTCTGCCCACTGTGGCTGGTGACATAACCTGAGCCCCAGGTGCCACTGTGTGGCCTTCCCGTGTTGTAGAACATAAACGTGTCACTTCCTGACGTGGCAGTCAAGCATGTCTTATAACAGTATGTTTTGGTCAGAGACCCATTTCCTCGCACTTCAATGTAATGCGGCTCCACTTTGAGATCACGACGTAGGGCCACATTGATGTTTTGCTGCCTTACTGCACCTGCGCCTGCACTTGCATCACCACCACCACCTGCAGCTCTTCCTCCACCGCCACTTGCTGAGGCACCTCCCTCTGGCACACTTTTCTGGGCAACACAACATGGGGAGCAGGAACCCTTCTGGGTGCAGTACTCATGGCATCGCACGATGGCCAGAACGAAGACTGTGACGAGAAATACAAAGGTTGTGGCACATAGGGCTATGATGAGGTAGAGTGTGACAGGGGAAAACATTAGTTTGCTGTCATGCCTGACGATGCTCTTCATGTCAGGGGTCAGCTTTGGAGGCACCTCCATCACGTGCACATGGAGAGTGGCGGTAGAGGAGAGTGGAGGAACACCGTGGTCATGGACCAGTACAGTCAGACGAAAGGTAGTAGAGTTATCTTCAATGACTCGCCTTGTGGTGCGAATCTCACCTGTGTACTCATGAACCTTAAACAGGTTGAGATCTGTGTTGGGCTGCTCCAAGGAATAAAACAGCCAAGCATTCTGTCCTGCATCACCATCCAATGCTGTCACCTTGCTGACCAACACTCCTGCTTCTGCATTTTTCAGTATTGTCTCTGTTGTGTGGCTTCCGTTAGCAGGAGGGTAAACAATCTTGGGCACATGATCGTTCTGATCCATGATGTAAACATATACTGTGACCACACGGCTGAGAGGAGGCACACCATTATCCTGTGCTTTAACTTGAAAGTGAAACTCTCGCAGCTTTTCAAAGTCAAAGGCTTGCAGGGCGTAGGCCTCACCTGTGTCAGGTTTGATGCTGACATAGCTGGCTACAGGGATACCATGATTGTTGTCATTGAGGACTGTGTAAGTGATGCGAGCATTTTCTGCAGCATCACCATCTGTTGCCTTGACAACACATAGAGATGCACCAAAAGCATTGTTCTCTGTTATATAAACAGTATACGAGGTCTGTTCAAAATGAGGTGGGTTGTCGTTGATGTCTGCAACCTCAACCTTGAAGGTCATGTGAGACGAAAGGGGTGGCGTGCCTCCATCCACGGCGTTGACGGTGACGTTGTAAGATGAGATGCTTTCCCGGTCCAGGAAAGCGTTTGTGACGATGGTGTAATAACTTCGAAATGACTTGATCTTGAAAGGCAGATTGGGCATGATCTCCAGGGTTACCTGTTTGTTTTGTCCAGAGTCACGGTCATTCACACTGATCAATGCCACCACTGTGTCCGCCCGGGCGTCTTCTCGCACAGGGCTGGAGAGTGAAGACAGGACAATCTCAGGAATGTTGTCGTTGACATCCAAAACTTCTACAACTACTTTACAGTGCACTGCCACGGGAGCTGGGCCCTTGTCCATTGCCTGAATGTACATTTCATAGGAGTTGGTCTCCTCATAATCAATATTATTTTTCACCCTAATTTCCCCTGTGACTGTGTCCATGGAAAACATCTGTCTCACTCTTTCAGGTGTGTAACTGCTAAAAGAGTAAAAAACGTCTCCATTTGAGCCCTCATCGAGGTCTGTTGCATTTAATTTAATCACAAGTGTCCCTTTTGGAGAGTTTTCAGGCACTTTGACTTTATATACTGAGCTGTCAAACACTGGCACGTTGTCATTGGCATCAAGGATGCGGACATTGATTTTGGCTGTCCCAGTTCTCTGTGGTGTGCCTCCATCTACAGCTGTCAGGACCAACTGATGAGAGGCAACACGCTCCCGGTCAAAGGGCTTTTTGAGGATCATCTCAATTTGCTTGTTGTTGGAAAAAGGTTTAATGGAGTCTAAAGTTAGATGGTCATTTGGACTTAGTCTGTAATGCTTCACGGAGTTAGAGCCATCGTCATCGTCCTGAGCTCCCTCGATGTGAAACCGGGACAAGGTGAGGGCGGACTCAGACACCTCCAGCTGGTATTCGTCCTGGGGGAACTGCGGTGCGTGGTCATTCACGTCCAGAATCTCTACCTCCACCTTTTGCGTCTCAAGCGGGTTTTCCAACACCACCTCAAGGCTGAGAACACAGGGGCTGACGAACTCACAAACCGTCTCTCGGTCGATGCGGTCACTCACCACCAGCTTCCCGGTTTTGTGGTTGATGGTGAAGTACCTCCGCCCACTATCCGACGTGATCCTGCCACGTCGGGTGGAAAGTTTTCTCAGGTCCAGATCCAAATCCCGGACGATGTCACCCACCTGCGCTCCATTTTCCAGCTCCTCTGGAATGGAGTATCTGAGCTGTGCGTTTGCGAGTCCACTGAATGCGACAATAAGCAGGCATAAAGAAAAAGGCACATTCTCCATTAGGCTGTAACACCATCCCACAGCCACGGCCATTGCAGGCAGGCAGACTTTGCAAATGATTTGGAGAAATCTTCAGCTTGCTGCGGGTCCCCACCCGCCTCATTAAAATCAGAGGAATGGTCGCTGCATAACTCCGGCTATACGCAGGATAAACACTGCATCTTATCTAAATCATCTTCCTGTAGCTATATCCACATTTTTTTCCTAATATTATCTGATGTTACAAAGCTGTCTCATCTCCGCTGTTGCTGCTCCCTCTCCTTCTCTATCCTCTCTCCTTCTCTCTGCCTGTGACGGTGATGCTGTCGGTGGGCAAACGAGGGGGAGGGAGAGCCACTCGCTCAAAAGATGCTGGCTGCGTTTCAGCAACTCCGATCGAACAGCATATAAAATCTAATATCCCTATAAATACTCAAATGTCTCAAGTCTTATCAACACAGTTTGTACGTGTGGACACCCAAATGCAGCACTAAGCCTCAAAATACAGTTGAGGATTTTAAACCAGCCGTTTTTCTCTTTTTTTTTCTTTGCCAGTGCCACCGCCCTTTTTCTCTGCTACCAGAAAAAATAAATAAATTTWAAAAATAAACACTGTTTTATGAAGCACCCTGCCGGATAGACTTCCTCACTGATGCCAATTAATAACTGGGGGAACAAATCACACACAACAACAAATACTGATTGTATTTAAAGTGAAGTAAGAGGCGCACAGGCTGAATCGTTCCAAGTCCCTTTATGTTCAGATCGATTGAAATCAATCTACACTAAAGCCTTTTTTTTACTACAACAGGGGTAAATTTTGTTAAAATATTTTTATTTATCAAATGTTTCACATAAACACAGTATTGCAAATGTCTACATTGATTCTAGCAGCTTGGCATTGCAGTTTTGCAAAGCATTTTTGTCAAAAGTTAATCTCTTTATAAAAAAAGGAGGGAGGTCACATAGCTGTGACGTCACGACGCAGTTCACCGGTGATGACCGTAACCGGGTCAAAGACAAGATGCTCCAGATGTGACCTTGTTTCAAATAAATAAATAAATAAATAAATAAATAAATAAATAAATAAATAAATAAATAAATAAATAAACTCTAGAACTGAAAAATCACACAAGCCATGAAAATGAGATTTTTATGTGTTTGTTTCATGTCCCTAACTTGAATCAATTAAAGGTCTAGCACTCCTTGAAAGAGGTCATACCTCTTCCCACCATTATTGTCAAAATTCTAAACAAAAAAATTCTTGAAAAGCTCATAGTTAAAACTAAGTCATGCAAGATTACACAATCTCAAAGTGATTTGTTAGCACTTACAAGTATGTGTTGAACATGACTCTTAGCTCCTACCAGATCAAATTTAGTCACTTATCTGTGAAACTGGGTTGTAGCTATTTTGCATTTGCTAATGTCAGTTAGCTGTGACAACCATCTTAGATTGACTCCAAAAATTAGAGTTTTAGCTGTTTGTTAAATGATTACTTCCTGAGAGTTTCACTAAAATCTGCCAAAAGGTTCAAGAGATATTTTGCTAACAAACAGGGCTGACATCAAATGTGTGTGTTGGGAATAGCTGTGGCAGTCATCTTAAATCATGTTGACTCCAAAGGTTAATCAGTTGTACATGTTTACCTGATTATTTTCTAACAGTTCTATTATAATGTGTTGAATGGTTTCTGATATAATTTAAATATATTTTACTGAATACCTAATATGTTTTTACAATCTTATGTAAAAGTAAAAAATAATGATAATAAAAAAAGTATTTACAGATGTAACTTCCTATTCTCATGCACCATATTGTGCAAAAATAAAGTGTACTGGTGTGACTTTAAAGCCTTGTGGTGTGAAGAAGTGGCCTTATGAAACCCTGAATCCCTTTAGCTTCACCACAGCGACTGGGCCAAGTTGAGCATCTACCACCCACATAATCTTTTCCTTTTTTTGGTGTTTTGCCACTCTCACCCACACTACACTTGCCCACGGCGATGACAGAGCTTGGCATCCGGGGAGACGAGGAGAAGACCGTGTCTCACTTTGACAGTGCTAAAGGATGGGCTGACACACAGAAACCTCAAAGAAGCAGGGTCAAAATAGGATGCATATTCCACTATGTTCAATACTGTCGACAAATGTGTTACAAGTTTTAATAAATGTCATATTTGTCATGCAGTATAATATTGCACAGCAGCATCACTCAGAATTTTTCTCCTATCTATTTTCAACAAGAGCCGAAGGGTCGACATGTTGAACTGAAATAGCAACTGTGGCATTTAGGTTTTCCCAGTGGTACATTTGAACTTCTATTTTGCATCCCAAGATAGAAAAAATGATTACAACTGAACAACTGACAGCTATCTAATCAAAGTTAAATACAGAGCAGGTTTATCTGACCTTTGCACATATCCATCTAATCTCTAATCTTCCTGATTTTTTTGCTTTTCTTATGCACATCACCAACGTTTGTACCTGAACCACTTGTACCTGCTCAAACATCTGTCCATCTGTTCTTTTATTAATTGCATGCCTCTCTGTAACGTTTTTTATTGCTTACTCAAGGGTGCTGCAGATAATGTTATCAACAAAATTCCACTTGCAGACAGACAGATGTCTGTCTCGGTTCATCACATACTAATTTTAATGCGCTAATTGGCTGATTTGTGTCGGCATCTACTGTTTTTTATTTTTTGTAATTGCTTTTTTCAAAAATAAAATAGGTAATCAGAACATCTCTTCCTCATCGGTGATTAATTCCCAGTCTCGCTTGTCACCTTCCTGAACTTGTGCTGGATGCTGTCCAGCTGCTCAGCTGTTAGCCAGCTGTTGCCCCAGCTAAAGACTGATGAAGAACACTGGAAGTTTAATTAATCATGACAACATTTACTTATGAAAAAGTGGGTGAGATGAAGAAATTAGATTTATAAATGCAGGCAAGGTGATAGATGTGAAAAAGGTCATTCAGATAAAAATATTCTTTTTTTGTACAATTTATCTGTCACTATGCAAGCTCCCCCATAGCATTAATTATTTATTATGGCCACTAAATTAATGGTGTTCTTTCCAGCCTCATTAATACTGTAAGCAGCCACTCTAAAATTCATTAATATTGTTTCGCCTAGGAAACCTTTTTTTTTCTTTTCTGTGAAATCCCCCATTTTGGTGAGTCAGATTACAAACACGTCTACAAAAATGCAGGGCATTGAAGAGCTACCATGAATTTGGACTCCTTTCATCATTCCCTTTAAACAGAAGCAACCATGCAAACGTAAAGGACAACCGTGCCTGCAGGCCTGTGTGCTGCAGCCAGTCTACAGCACTACAATAATGCCTTGTAAGGACACAAATATTTTTTGTCTGAACAAATGTCACTTGCAGTTGTAACCTAATTTTTAAAATGGCAAAACAAATAAAAAAAATAATAAAAATATACCTAGCCAAAAACGTTTACCTGCAAATAAACTGCAACATTGAAGATTAACTGACATCTGATGGGTCAGGGGGTTTGCAATTATTTGAGAAATAGATAAGTTGATATTTTCATTTATATCATTAAAATCTTTGGACTCCTACAACACAAATTAAGATGAAAACTAATTTTAGGCCAGAGTGATAAAAGTGAGCATGTGAGTCTGGAGGTGAAAAAAAAAAAAGTATACTAGCAAATAATATTTAACTAATGCTTATTGGGGAAACAACAACAACAAAAGCCTAAATAGCACAACTGTATCATAAAGTGACATATAAAGCTGCTGTGTATCAGGAGGTATGAGTCAGTTAAAAAAGAAAAGGTCAGTGGCAACAGCACTGCAAAGTCAATCCTGATGTCAGTGGGAGAAGCAGCCTGAGCAAGAGAGAGCAGAGAGGTGGGAGAGGCAGTGAAACTGGTCCCTCTGTTGGATTATGTCGGTAGTACAAATCCTCACCCCCACTGCCCATCCACCCAGGCTTTCTCATTAAGTCAAAGCACTGAAGCATAATCCCATCTATGAGTGTGTTTGGGAGAGAGAAAGAAGAGGGAGGACAAAAATGTCTGATTGCACTGACGGTCAGTTTCTGCATAACAGCGCAATGGAAAAATACGTATGAAAGAAAGGTGCTCACAAAAGAAAATAAAATGTACAAAATGAATCAGACATTTGAATTTACAAAATAAACAACCCAGTCAGTGATTACAAAAATTAAATTGTTAAGATAAACCAATTTACTATAAACAACTGGACACAACTTTGCTATAGAGTAAGCAAGTCTCTCGCCAACACAATTTTGTTAGCATTTTTTTATTTTAGTAAAGTTGTCCTTTTTTCTCTGTTTAGAAGAATTGTCCCATTTCAAAATCCCCAAAAACAAAAGTCCCATGTTAACCACAATCCCTTTACTCAGGTGCATACAGCAAACACGATGAGAAGGCATTCTGCCTTTGCTCTGATCCCATGTGTACCTTTCTTTCAAAAGCAAAGGGCAAGAGAGAACAAAAAGGCAGCACAAATCCCTTCTTATGGGAGCCAGAGAGAGTCAAACAACCCGTTGGTTGTCCTGATTCAGTCATGAATCAAACAAATTCTTGTCATGGTACCGAACAATGCTATCAGGAAACGCAGACAGGCTTTGGACAGTTTCCTCTCAGGATACCCGGACTTTGCATCTCAACCGGTTGGAAGACGATGGAAGCTGTGGTTCAGAGCATGACAAAGCTAATCTAATGAGTGCAAAAAAAAAAAAAAAAAAAAAAACACGCTTCAATGCCACTGAGAAGGAGCATTGATGAAAGCTTGCTGAAGGGACGGGTGATAAGTTCTTTTTTTTCTTAATCTGTGACCAATTGCAAGCCTGTGATGTTCTCACTTGGCTGCAGGGTGTGTATTTAATGTTTTTTCCCTCCATCTCAACCTAAGAAACTCCAATTTTCTCACTWGTGCTAGGGACTCTACTGCTGCATTTATGGCTCCCTCAAGACCCCCTCTTCCCCATTTTGGAACTGATTCTCTAATCTCACACTCTTTATCCATGTTTGCTTTGCTCTATTCCTTCTCTCTCTGGCTGACTAAACAGTCCTGGGGAGGATGCATGTCTTTGAACCCCCCAGCCCCAGCCCCACCCCCATCATATCCATGCTGTTCCTTTTAGCTTGCACACATATTACAAATGCTGGGATGGAAGTTTTACTGGCTGAGGGGTAGGCGGGTACATACTGGCAGCTGGAAACAGGCCAGCTCATCACTTCATTACATCTCAGAACAGTCTCCATGGCAACCACACATACTAGCAGCATCAGCCTCACTCTCACACAAAGGACACACCCTTGGAAAAAAGGAGGAAAACAGGAAGCTCTGCATGAAATGTGTGTGTGTTGGTCTACTTGTTTCTGCTGCAGACTGAGAACCACATT